TTAAAGTCAACTTCCATCACAGTCATTTTCTTACAAGCGTTCTACCAAGGCTGGTGAATTTGTTTCAAAAAGCTAAGTTTGTCTGTGAGGAGAAAGTCTACCTGAATGAACCTTCATGAAGCAGCATCTTCCAGAGATGCTCTGCTCTCAAATGTTGAAAGGCAGCCATGCCTATAGAGTTTAAAAGTTAAATCTCTCGAAGGAATGAAATTAATAAGTCCTCTGGGCATGGAAGGAAATCTGTATCTTCACATTTGATTTGAAAGTAGATAGGAAGTCAGGAAAAGGAAGGGAAGTCAACTCCAGATGGTGCTGGCTTGTGGAGGAGAAGGAGGAGGTTGTCCCACCTGTGGCTGGGGAGCAGTGGGGAAGGGCATGGGGGACGGAAATGGGAGTGGGGAAGGGGGGCGTGGGGCATCTGTGCCACAAAGTGCACCCTTCTGAGCCCAGCACCAGCTTTCCTGGGGAAAGGAGAGCTGAGCATGCCATTGTTGTTATCCCTTATCTCAGAAGCCCATCATGTACATGGTGCTTTGTGGTAGGTCCAGCCACCACGGAGGGTTCACCTGTGCTGGGAAATGCACCCTGTACATGGAAGATCAGTGATGTTTCCTCCTTGGCAGTGCAGAGGCAGAGCAGCACTGACCCAAAACCCAAAGTGATATGGCAGGGTGTGCACAGCAGTGTGTGAAGATGCTGAAAATTTTACCTGGAGATGTGGGAGCCTAATAATGACCCAAGATCTGAAAATCTGGAACTGCAATAATGGTCCATTTCCTCTGAGGCTGTAGCATGCAGAGCCAGACATGAAGTAAGCCAATCACTCAAATTGGCCAGCATGCTCGTCAATCAAGTGTAGTTTAAAGCAAATATTTAACATAAAGGTAATTTAGATTTCATATTGTACCATATGCTCAGCATTTGATCTGGTTTGCATAGAAAAGTGTTCTCTTTTGTGCTAAATAGCCTGTCTGGTCAGAAGGAATTGTAAAACTGACCACAGCCCAGATCTGAAGGATATTCTGTGCATTTATCCATCTCTCTCTATATGGCTAAAGTTCTGTGGCTGAAAAATACAGTGTGTCTGAAATCCTTTTTTAATCTCACTGGCAATCCAGAGAAAACCCCCAGAAGTTAATGAAACAATGAGATTGGTCTGTTAGAAGAGCACGTTTAGGTTGCTTTTTTTTTTCATTACCTAGGATAACAGGAGATAAAATAAAATACGTTTTTCTAGCATTTTACACTGATAATCCCCAGCTTTTGCATTTTCTCTTCTGGAGAAGGTGGAGAGGTCACTCTGGAAAAGGAAGGGTTAATTGAAATTATTCTTCCCTCCCGCACTCAGCCTTCTCTTTGGTTGATTGCTTTATAGATGCTGTAGGCATCTCTTCATCTCCTTCAAATTAAACATTTTACTGCTGCTGAATCCCGTACTGTTGGATTTTTTTTCATCATTATATTTGATTGGAAGTCTTGTAACATTTTTCAAGCTGGATCATTTCTCATGCTATTTGTCAACTGAAAAGGGAAAAAAAAAGCCCCTTTCCAACGCCAACAAGAATGAACTGAGTAATTCGCACCCTTTCTGGATGTGTTTCTATCTCTGTTAGATGCTACTTGAATCCAGCTTCTGATTAGCAATGCTACTTGCAGCTTTTGTGTGACGCTGTCTGTAAGTTCCCTGGCAGTTTATTTGTGGTGTTAAATCCTTTTGATTTTGGCTGCTCTGGGCCTTACTTTGTCAGGGGACGGGACCAGAAGCCACAACAGAGGAGATTAGGTAGGGTCTGTGTGACAAATTTATGGGGCTTGGGAGCCTGCAGTCCTGGGCTCTGCTGCTTTCAGTGCTCCCTGCTGACGTAGGTACAGATCCCACCCTCATCTGTAACCCTCTATTTGGAAACGTCAGCCCTTCTCTTTGAAAGCAATCCATGGACAAAAAAGAACTCCTCAAAGAGCAGCTGAGCGATTCCATTCATTGGAACATTATGCTCTTTTATTGCAAGAGATGTAATAAAACATAAACCAGAGTATCTGTCATTTCCATTTGAGCTCCCCCTTTCCCCCCGCTCCTTGGTTAGCCATTTCTATGGCACCCTCAGTATTTCTGTGCTTGGGAGGAAAACGTACATACTGGCAGCGAAACAAGTTTGTGGCGCTTCTGCCCAGCCTCAGCTCTCGCCCGCAGGGTGGCGAGTCCTGTGCTGGCACCTGCTCTGGGCTGTCCGTGCAGAGCTGCTCCTTGCCGGGCTGTTCCTGCCGCTGTCCTGGCACGCCTGTGCCCCTGGGGACAGCGGGCAGCGCTGCCAGCAGCAGGATGTGCAGCTGTGTCCCTGCACTGCCAGCCCTCGCTCAGCCCCGCTGCTCCGGGACGTGGTGCCGGCTCCTGCCTGTGTGCCCGGGGAGCTGCAGCCCGCGGGGAGCAGGGACCTGGCCTGTCACAGCATCCCCGGCAGGCTCGGCTCCTCGGCCGCGCTGCCATGGGCAGTGCCCGGGGACTGCGACCCGCTTCCCAAAAGCTGCGACTGGAGATGGCTGATGCTACAGACTGTTATGGCAGGAACGTTTGAGGAAGGAAATGAATAAAGGGCTCTTCGGCACAGAGCCTTTTCATTTATTTGCATAACAGGCTGATATTCCACAGCGGACTTCCCTCTTGCGGTAATAACTTGACTAGTGTAGCATTTTACTGGGGGCTCGGTATGCGTGTGAAATTCAGTGAAAGTTCTCAGCAGATTTCCATTATTTATCTTTGTGTTTTTGGGGTTTTTTTCATTAGAGAGCTTTAATGTAGGGTTGATTCTCTGGATGTTACTGTTTGCAACAAAGACATTTTCTTCTTGGTTAAAGAGCCAGAATTCCCTCTTACTTGTGGGAGAAAATAGTTATCCATATTGATTTTGTTAGCTTTGAGTGTCAAGCTCTAATAATTATTTCCCTGCATCTGAAGAAACCTCTGGGCAAATACAGCTCCAGTCCTGTAGGGGATTTTTTCTGTTAATCTCTCTTGTATAGATTTGGTTTTAAAGAAAGCATATGGAGCTCCTCTGTGTTTCGAACAATTCAGAGCAGGTATTTTTTACCCCTGGAATAAGGGCTACACGAGGCCCTTTCTTAGTCATTTTAAGTGGCTGTTAGGAAGATTAAGAGCTACATATGCTTTCTTTAAACTTGCCAAAAAGGAGATACTGTGGGTGAAAATCTGTTACAAGACTGCAAAGTGTGTTTGCCCAGAGGGTGTCTCAGAATGGAGGGCTATAATTATTTGAACTCAGAGCTCCTCAACTAGTGAAATTACTACAGATGTAATACAGAGAAATCTGTTCAGGAGACACATTAAAGCCACCTATGTGAAGCAACAGCATTGACTATGCTGTCTCTCTTGAGAGAAGGGAAACCCTAACAAATCTCTGCACTTCTACTTTTTTTTTTCCTTATACTTACATAAAGTAGCTGTGATGGATTTTAATGCAAAATCATTATTCATAAAGTAGCACCTGACAATCCCACATGTGCCTAGCCCTTTGGTGGTACTTGAAATCTTGAAGAAATGGTCAAAGTGTCTCGCCTGAAAAGATGAGAGGAAATAAGGATGGGGAGAGGAGGAGCAAAGCAGGAGATGGGACTTTCCTGAGATGGGACAACTGGCCAGTCATCGTGACAATGAGACTATAATACCTTTTGACTTAATTTTTATTTTGGCTATTTTATATTTCTTTTTGTTATTTACATTTTGTATTTCTTATTTTGTGGCTTTAAATTTATTTTATATTGTTTTCCTTTTATATCACTTCCTCCTTTCAGTCTTTAGTTGTACAGACAGGTATAGCTGTCTTACAGGTGAGAAGGGCACTGGAAAAATGCCTATTAATTGTGTTTTTCTTGACCAAAACAAAGTAGGTCCCGTGTACAGACCTGTACAAGTGCCCTTACATCAAGCACTGAGGGGGTCAGCATGTGAAGTGTGTGTCTGTTTGATCTTATAGGTGCTGCACAGACAGCAGTCCCAGCCTGCCAAGGAGAATTCCCCACCCAGAGAAGAGGCTCCTCCTCCACCTGCTGAGGACAGTTGTGCCAAAAAGCCAAGATCCCGTACCAAGATCTCCTTGGAAGCTCTAGGTATCCTTCAAAGCTTTATTCACGACGTGGGTCTCTACCCTGATCAGGAAGCCATCCACACCCTCTCTGCTCAGCTGGATCTCCCCAAACACACCATCATCAAATTCTTCCAGAACCAGCGTTACCACGTAAAGCACCACGGGAAGCTAAAAGAGCACTTGGGAACAGTGGTTGACGTGGCAGAGTACAAGGATGAGGAGCTGCTGACGGAGTCGGAGGAGAACGACAGTGAGGAAGGCTCTGAGGAAATGTACAAAGTAGAGGCTGAGGAGGAGAATCCCGACAAGAGCAAGGCGGCTCCAGCAGATATCGACCAGAGATAATGTGAGATAGGAGTGCAGAAAGCAATACATTGATCCAAGGATTTTCTGGTTTTGATTTTTTGATTTTTTTTTCCTCATTTTACTTTTTGTTTGTTTGTTTCCGTTGCGCATGATCCATGTGCAAACCGAATGAATTCAGCATTGCCCAATCAGACATCGCCTTGACACAGACATTCGAGTGTTACACTTCCTACATCTGACTGAAGCAATCGTTGTAGTCACATAGGATTATGCCTTCATCAATCTTGCACTTATGAAAGGGACAGCTAGCAAGTAAATGGGAAGAAAAAGTCCTATGAAATCAGTGAAGGGAAATTTACAACTTTGTGTGTGTATATATATATTTACATAAAATATATATATATTAAATTGCATGGGACGGAACTTTACAACCTGAAATATAGACTGTGAAATGAGTTCTTTAAAGATGAGACTTGTTTATGTATTAAAACCACTTCACAATGAGTTGCTTTGGCTTTTTGATAAACTGCCGCCTGCTCTCAGGGTGTGGTGACTATTTTTGAATTCCTATTTATTTTCTATGTTTATCCCTGATTTTTTTTTTTTTTTTCATTATTATATGGCTTCCTATCTGGCAACTTGATGGGTAATTTTTGAGGTATTTAAAGACGTAAATCAACACTGCCAAAAAAAGAGGAGAAAAAGAGAGGAAACGGAAAAAGAAATCAGGGCACCTTAAAGAGAAAACAAGTAAGTTAAGTTAAAAGTACTCTGAACACAATGCACACTTAAAAGGATACAGCATGTTCCACTCCAGATAGTCCTTTCCGTAGTGAACAGATGATTTTTTTCATGGGATTCAGAATGACTAAAACTGAAATGCAGTGCATAGAAGACTTTACCATTAACAAGGTCTTTATAGAAAGAGAAAAAAGATAAAACGTGTTGAGATTTGATGTATGGAATTCATACTATCAACCACATTTTACCGTGGATTTTATTTACCTGTTCTCTGTTTCAGATCTTAAAATTTATAAGCTTCCTTCTTGTTGTTGTTTTTTCCTTATACTGAAGTGAAACACACACCCACACGCAAACACACCCACACACTCACACGTGTAAAGTTACATTGCGACACGAAATGCCACAATCCCGAGAATCCCGTCCAGGTAGATTGCTGACAGCCCGAGGGTTTGCGTTGCCGACTCCCCGCTCGCCCTCCTCGCAGCCTCCCCGTGTTCCCGTTGTGGTTTCCCCGTGTCCCGCGGTCCGTGCCAGCGCAGCGCTCGCAGCCGCAGCCCCGCTCCCTGCGGGCCCCGGCGCTCCGCAGCACCCGGGGGCAGCCACGGTACACAGAGCCGAGCCGAGCCCGACTGACTCTTGGATGGCCTGAGCACAAAGCTGCAGTCTGCCATAGCATCCACCCGCTCTGAGGCACCCTGTCGAGAGAGACGCCAAGTAGCATTTACTTCTCACTTCCGTGCAATGCTTTCCGAGACAAAGACCTCACCTTGCAGCTGGATCGATTTCAGACGCCTGTAAACTGCAGCCATAACCAACAAGGCTTCTGGCTTTTTTCTTCCTTTTTTTCACATGGGCTTTTCATGTAATCTTGACAAAGACCTCATGCAATATCACTTTGAAAGTTACTTTCTGTTTACTACACCAGGCAATGTAATATAACTGTTAATACTATTTATATATTTGAAAGGTATAAAAGGTAGGAGTTAAAAACGAAAAACAAACCTCTACGTGTAGATATTTACTCAGAACAGACAATATACAGGGAGAAGACGTTGCAATACAAGCTAATTCTAGCTGCTCAGTAACCTCTGGAGTTTTTATGAGATTTTTTCAGAGCTAATGTTTGAAACATGAGTATCTCTGCATAAATTTCATATACCTTTGCAAAATTATGGTGGGTTGCTTACTTAATGCCCCTTTTGCTCTTCATCCTTTAGTTCTGTAGTATGCTGCAGCTTTAATCAGAATTTCGATGGTTGCTGCTTTATGTTTCTCTCAGAGCTACGCTTTCAAAACTGTCTTCTTATCCTGTAGCTAAAATCACTCCATACATTTGAAAGGAAACTGAATTTTGCCAAGCTGTGTAAGTTGTTCATCTGATGATGGCATCAACATTTGGTATCTTTTACACTTCAACCAAAAATTTTATTAGGTATTTTTTCAATGCTGAGTCTTGCCTTTTTATTTTTAATTTCACTGCCAATTTTGCAGTGGTTCTAAGTGAATCTGTGGGCATTTTAGCCTGTGGTCTTGCCAGAACTTTGCGAATTACAATGCATATATGTCTATTTATTCAATATCCATCATATAATATCTATTTGGAGAAAGAAACTTTTCTTGTAGTGCCTCTTAACAAAGCACAATTTTCCGCCTTTTTTGTGAAATAAAAAATAAAAAAAAGAAATTGTGTTTTATTGCGGTATCAACAATGTGAATAAGGATTAACATATTGTAAATGTTCATTTTTCCATGTAAATCAACTTTATCTTCGTTATCACTAAGTGATAATTAATTTTTAACTTATGTGCATTGTTAGGCTGTTAGAATTTTTTGGTTGTTGAAATAAAACGCATTCAATAAATATGACTTAATTTGTCAAGTAATTTACTGGGCCTTTTTTCTTTTCTCCTGAGTTCAACTGGAACAAGGTCTGCAAGATGGAGTGGGCATATTTGCCTCTTGAAAAAAGGTTTGATCGGTGTTACCAGGTCTTGAAAACCTCCCTCAGTCCCCTGGAGCTGGTACAGGTGACGAATGTGTGTCACCAAGACTAACCTGTTGTGTCCTTGGCTTTCTGTGCACACGTAGGTGCCTGCACAGGCTGTTTCTGGTGGGGATGGAAGGAGGGTGGGGCTGCCTTCAGCCTGTCAGGGAATATACTCAAAACACACACATAAAGATCCACTTCCAGTCTGCTGTCTTCTTTTGCTGGTAGATTTTTTTTTTCTGTTTATAATTAAAAAGCCACAAATGACTGCGTGTCAGGAAACTTTTGGAGCACACATGTCCGTGGTTAATGGACATAATAAAAGGCTTTATTATATTTATAGCGGGGCATCCTACTGAGTGCGTAGAGGAATGCCGGAAGGATTGATGTATCTGAGAAATGTGTGAAATGTTTTTGGGGAGAATACAGATAAATGGAAAAAATTGCTCAAAATTCTTAAGCTAACAAAGTGGTAAGTGCCTGGATTCAATCCTAGCATACAAATCATATACTGCACATCAAACTTGTCTAGGAATTGAGGTAGAGCAATTTTTGAAAGCATTTATATATTTTTTTTCTATAGTTCCAATACAGAAGTTCTTCCCTTTTTTATGGCTTATTTATATCTTATATAAAATATCTTTGTGCTCTCTTGAGAAAAAAAAATAAGGGGAGGTGAAGGAATAAGCACATGTTTGGGTTCCCAGCCACCTGCATGCCACTTACATTTAATCTGAGACCAAATAAAATCACGCATCTTTCTGTGTCTCGGGGAATGTCTGGGCACCTGAGGCTGTGCACAGCAGCACCTGTGGAGTGCTGCTCGCTGGGATGCACAGCTGCTGTCCCTGCACTCACCTCTGAGGGGTCCTGGGATACCTGTGCCCTTCCCACAGGAGTGCACGTGCAGATCTGGTGCCTGGCTCTGCTGCCTCTGCTTGGAACTCTGGGCAGTCTTTTGCTGGTCGATGGCCCAAGGCTGGGGCTCCGCTGGCCTTCATGGGCATGGGAGGTGACAGAGGGCATAAAGTGGTGTTGAAAACTGCACCTGCAGGTGCTGTGAAGGTGCTGATGGTATTGGATTGGGTGTCCGTTCTGCCTGCAAGTAGAACAAGAAACCAAATGAGAAGCAGCTCTCACTTCACTGGTAGAGAATTTTATAGATGAGCCCTGTGTGTGTGTAGCTAAAGAATACTTAGAGAAAGACACACTCATACACACATATTTTAATTGGGGGGAAAAAATCCTATAAACATATGGGTTCTTCTTCCAAACCATAAAAAAAAATCAATCATTCAATAGCTGCTATAGCAGAAATATTTCTATTAATGCTTCTACTTCTCTATACTTTACATGCTGCTGCTCCTATTTGTTTTTCATGTTTTAGTCATCTAGACATATGTATTTCCAGTTTCAAACCTGTGTCAGTGAAAAATAAACATGTTAAGATTAGTTTAAAATGTTTTAAGATGATGAACATACTGACTGGTGTCTCAAGTTCATTGTTGCTTAGGTAAAGTATCCCTCAATCTTTCCACTTCCTTAATAACTAATTGTTTGCTCTAGACTAAATGGATAAAAATTCCTCATTGATGAAATTTTGTTTCTATCCTGAACCTGTTAAACATAGAGGGATAAAAGCTGGATACATCTGACAGTGAGCAAATGGCATCTTAAAATTATAAACGAATCATTACAAAAACTCTCCACTTACAGTATAAAGTGCAGTGATTAATTAAAGATGCAGTTTTAACTTATTTATAGCCATTAAAAAAACATAGTGGTTTTAACACAAAATAACACAAGCCAAGTCATCCAGGGGAGAGACACTGGCAGCCTGAGACTTGGGGAGCAGGCAGTGTGACAAAGCCAACAGGGAACCGCAAATGCAGGCCACCCTTGAAACCTTTGGGAAAGTTCACAGAAGCAAGGATGGAAAGAGGTGGCTCTGGCTTCCCTGCCAAGTCCCCCTTGTTTTTTGCTCACACATAGAGGGTGCAGGCGTGTGAAAGCCCCATCTCTCTGGGATGGCAGGAAACCTGTGGTGCGGGCGGTGGGGATCGTGCCAACTGCAGAGCTTGCTCTGGGTGAGTCAGCCCTACCTCAGGCAAAGAGAGGATTCGGGTGAGGGAGAGACAGCAGCAGTTCAAGTGCAGATTTCTGCAGGCTTTCCCCTCCTTCCAAATTTTTTGGTTGTTGATGGGTGAATGCTGGTCGTGCTTGACTGGTGGGTGTGGCTCGCTAGAGCCAGGGGCAATGAAGGTGGTGGGAGGGAAAGTGAGGCTCAGCTGCTGAGCTGTGAGTTGTGGCTGCTGCTCCCCAGCAGGTCTGTCTTTGGAAGGCTCTCCTGAGCCTGCCACGGTCAGGGACACACACCAGGCACTCCACGCTCCAGCCCCGCAATTGCTGGCTCTGTCTGCAAGGCAGCGCTCGCTCAAGGCAAGAGTCATCCCCTGTGAGCAGTGGTACAGTTTCAGGAGGTACAGCTGGTTCCTCCTAAGAGGAGTGGTATAATTTACCCTTCAGAGGGATCTGGTCTTGATTTGAAGACCTCAGGAGCTGGAAAATCACTTTTGCCCTCAGTAGTTTGTTTGAATGGTGGTTTCTCTCCCTACTAAATCTGTACCATATTCTAAGGGGAATTTGGCTTTCCCTTCCTGGTGTTGTCTTTTGTCAGGCTTTTCTCTTCTGGGTGAAAGTTGCAGGTAATGACAGATATTTTTTTCCCTCAGAAGTAGCTGTCCTGATCAAATGAATTTTCCTGAATTGAGGCCTTATTGTTCAGCTGAGGCTGTTTCAAGGAAAATTTTGCTTTGGCTAGTGACAGAATTCCCCCTTGTACTCCTTTTGAGAGTCCATCGAGATAAATGACAGAAAGAAAAGCTTTAGAAAGAAAAGGTTATTTGCTGCTAGTGAGCCTGGAATGCTCACAGATAGTATCTGTCACAGTTAAGGTATCCATAGTTCTATTCTGCATAAATTCTACATAATTGTAGATTTTGATCTCATAGCCATGAGGAATGACATTCCTTGGCATGGAGTGTAGATCTCCAATGAAATGTTCTCAGAAAAGAGATTTTATTTTTATGACCAATCAACAATTTTGATTTGCAAGAGCAGAAATGCAGGTGGTGTTCACTACTTCTGTTTACAGCACCAGACTAAACGTGCCACCAGCCAATGTCTCCTTACTTGGTGACTCTGGGCACAACTTTCAGCCTGGGGCTTACTGAGGAACTGACTTCCTTCAGGGTGGAAGGGCCAGCCAAACACAAACTAAGTGCACATACATGGACCACAGTCCTTCTGAGACAGAAGGTTAATGTCCCCTGTGTGGACCCCTCCAGAGGCCAACACCAGTCTGAGCCCTACCTAGCTGCTGAGGTAGCAGGACAGAGTACTGGAGTGATGCTGCATCTTTCTCAGTCACCCAAAAATCAGCTGAACTGTTTTGTCCACAGTCACAGAGAGCCCCTCTATCCTACTTTGACACTGTGTTTGTCTTAACAAGGATGGGACTGAGAAAAAGTGGAAGGACACCACAGAAGCTTGCATGAGCTACAAGGATGCTGAGAGCAACAGCGCTCCTCTGTCATGGCCTCGGGACGTCTGCTCCTGGGATGAAATAATTGAGTAGCCTGAGCATCAGCCATGGTGCCTGAGTAGCAACAACCACCATGCTGTCACCTTCCTTACAATTAAATTTAAGAGGTGACCTCTCCATGGCCCAAGTTTAACCAGGTCAGTGAGACCACATTCCTTTGGCTTTGAGAGGAGAGAGAGCACTCTTTCATGCTTTAACAGACTGTTCCCTATTTGTCCAGCCTTGGTGCCTCTTTACCATATGATGAAGTATGTGCTACACTCATCACAGACTCAGCTATTTATGATCAGAGATGACCAGAGAAGTGTTTGGAATCTGTTAGCCCTTGAGAGGGAAAAATGCAGCAGATTGGTCTCACTGACATGAAGGAGACTCTTGCAAGGGAAGTAGAGCAGGACATGACCAGCAAATGCAGTCTTTCACCACAGGGTTCAGCCTTTGGTTTCTCAAACCAACCAAACCTCCTCTGTTAGTATTTAAAGGCTGTTGCAGAATATCGTTCCCTTAATGAATCTCTTTTCACAAGCCATTTAGCATCATTTGTTCTGTGTCAACATTGTCCTTTCATTTAATTTCCCCCACCCAGCGTCCCTTCCTGACCTCTGGCCACCCACCACCCAATATATTCATAGACAGCAACTGCACCCCCTGCAAGCTGGGTGTCCCTGCACTGAGCCAGCCCAGCCGTGTCCCAGCACGGACATCTGTGGCTGCCTGGGTCTGCAGTGACAGGCACGGCTGCTGCTCCCAGCGCTGCCCCTCGTTGGCTGCTCCCGGCTGGGGCAAGCCACCACCAAACCACCACCGAGCCACCACCAAACCACCAGTGAGCCACCACCAAGCCACCACCAAATACCTAACCACCACCAAACCACCACTGAGCCACCACCAAACCACCAGTGAGCCACCACTGAGCCACCACCGAGCTGTTGTGGGGCTCCCTGGGCAGGAGGCTGCCGGGCCCCAGGGGTGGCGCAGGCGCTGCCCCATGCCACCGAGAGCCCTGACGAGCACTGACAGAGCCCTTCAGAGGAGATGCTCAGCCCCAAGGAGAAAGAGAAGTGCTTGCAGCTGCCCTGGTAATGAATGGCTGGGACACAGTCCAGGCTAGCCTGGATTCCAGCAACCCCCTCAGTACACAAGGGAAAATCCAGAAGTGCCCCATGCAAGAGAGATAATGAAAGGCCACAGCGAGTAGCTACCAGCAAGAGAGGCACATGGATTGATCACAACGGACTGGGAAAGTAGCTGGAGCCATTAACTTCTCTCTAAATGCAGGGAGATGACAGAACATGGCCTATGAGCATACAGGACACAGACCATGGCACAATTCCCCAGTGGAAGCCAGCTGCTCTGGGAGAAAATGAGCCCCAGTGTAATGCAGACAGATGAACAACATTGCTCAGTCCTACACAACCACGGGTGCTGGGTGCCCTGCCCAGGCGCTTGTGGCTCCCACACCAGTGAGCCTGCAGCTAAGGAGTTTCCATGCTGGAGAGTGAGAAGGACCATGGGGCTGAGAGAAGTAATTGGGATCTTTTCCTCTTTCTTCTTGTCTTTCAAAATACTTGCATGGCAGCCGGGTGAATGCTGGTTTCATAATTGATGGGCATGGTCTTGCCAATCTCCTTTCTAAGAGCCATTCCTTGTCACATAAATACAATCTATCAGTGCCCATTGTCTTTATAGTGATCTTGAGCAAACAGTTTTATTTCCAATCAGGGCATCACACATTGATCTAAACACTCATCTGTAATGGATCAATTTACATTAGGAGAGCAGTATTGTAGCATTGTTGTTCATTATATTGAAAGAAGTATATGTTTAGTTACAGGCTAAAATCAATTAAACAGCCTTGTGCCTTTTGCTGTGAGAAAGTCAACAAGCCAGTCTATCTTGGACAATTATGCAACTACAGCTCCTCTAAAAAAGGGCTTCAGCATCATCCCCTTTCTCTTGAGTTCTCAGTTTCTCCTTCAGAGACTTATTTTGCAATGTTTTTCTTCTTGTGCAGTCTAGCAAAGCACTCAGCTAAAATGCACACGAGAGAAATGAAAGCAGTCTTACTCTGCTGTTGTGGAGGGGACTTTCCCAGAGCCATGCAAAGTCATGCATCCAAAAGAGAAACCTGCACTTTCACCAGAGGCTGCCTGATAACAGACAATGGAATATGCTGGAGATGCTGAAAAATGTAGATGATGCTGTTTGTATCTTTATAGGTGATATCATTATCTCCAAGAGTCCCTGATTTCTCTGGAGGAGAAAAGGAGGGAGTGGGAGGCAGGGAAGAATTTGTACATTGGGCTGCTGTTTCTTGCTTTGCTGCAAGACATAAGACTGAAAGGAATGCTGGAGACTTTCTCACAAAGGGAACATGATTTGAGCTGGGGGTGTAGCTGCAGAGAGAATGGAACCTGCAATTTCAAAAGCAAAACACAAAGGGGAACTGCAGGGCAATGCAATGATGGGATTTGAGGAGCACATCTCTTGGGGCT